TGGATGGATGGATGGATGGATGGAAAAGTAGATGCACAGGGGGTAGAGGGATGGATATACAAATGGATTGAGTGGCGTGCTTGAGTGAGATAGATAGGCTGAGTGGGTGGAGGATGGAAAGACGGATAGATGGGAATTTAGAACATAGGTGGGGGTGTGGGTAGGATGAGTAGGTGTGTGAATAGGTAGTGGGTGGGTGATGGAATGCATGAACTGGAAAATGCCAACCACAAAGCGAAAACAGAACTGATGTCAGAGTTTCTTGGTTATGAATTGGTGACCACTTCACTGGGGGACCAGGCCCAGTGGCATTCCCTGGTCAAAATGTATGAACTCTTTACAGACTCTGGTCACCTGACCCTACCTCATTTCTGGCAGGGACCAGTGGTCTGAAAGCAGCAGAAAGGACTCTGTTGCATTCAGTTCTCAAACAATGTTTCCTGGCAGGAATAAGCTCAAAGGGGCTTGAACCAGGGCTGTCAGGGCTTCTGTCCAGAGTCAAGACCACTTGTCCTGTAGGGAAAAGAAAAGCAGGCTTAGCCTATGGGGCACAGGACTCCAGGAGGCTCCTCACTGTAGTTGAAGGGATACACCAGACCTGAGGTGCCTTCCCCCATCCAGTGCAGGAGAAGCCTGGGAGAAAAGAACCAGCAGAGCTGAGCTGCCTTTTAGCACTTAAGGGACACCTGAAGCCAGCACAGGGGCCTGGTGCTCACAGCCAGGCTGAAGAGTAGCCACCCAAGTGCCTGGAACTTCTTTTGCATAATCTTATTAGCAAAATTCCCAGGACAGCCTTGAGTATCTACTTTTACTCCTCACCCCACTTTGCTGATCCAAAATTGAGATAGAAGTAGTTGAGGAATGGGCCTGGGGTCACCCATCTGGCAAGAGGTGGAAGAGAGATGTGAGCCCAGGTAGCTGACCCCTGCACAACCCTAACTAGAGGTAGAGGGCCACAACCCTAAAGGGGTTAACTCCAGGGAGAAACCAGTGGGAGCCACCTATGGCTCAGGGCTGGGTCCAGCAGACACTTGCATGCCAGGGGCCCTTCAGACCTAGATGCTGCTCCTAATGGCAAGTTTCAGGAAGAGCAGATCAGAACTTAGACAAAGCTGAGCAGAGCATCATGTGTCAGAGAGACACATGGCCATGATGGAAGATGGCCACTTAGTGATCTGCTTTCCAAACTCGCTAGGATTAGAAAGATCAGCAGACTTGCATGAACAGATAGGAAAGCTCAACCAAGCCAGCCCAGGCCACAAGTTTCCCCAAGCAGACAAGCAGGAGCAGAGCCCAGACCAGGCTAACCTGACCATGAGGAGCCCAGGTGCCACCTGGCTGTCCTCTCCTGCGATGGTGCTGTGTAAACCCAGGATGTCCCACATGCCCACCTGCTCCTCCTACTCTGTACCTGCTGCCCCTCTCCACATACCTGTTCTTGATCCTTCAACCTCCACCCCTTTGTACATGCTTTGCCTCTCCCTGACCAATATTCAAGACGGCCTGGGCCTGCCTCAAGGTAGGGACTTCAGAGCCTGGGTGGCCTTAGATAGAAATCTACCATGAGGGAAGTCCCTAGCACTGGCCTGAACACAGGCTGCTGGTCTGTTCTCTGCAGCATCTGACAGGCACACGCACAGCCACTCCAGCCACAGGATGCCCTACACTTGCAGCCCTGCTGAGGACTGGCCCCCGCCCTTGGACATCAGCTCTGATGGAGATGTGGATGCCACGGTGCTCAGGGAACTATACCCAGATTCTCCACCTGGGTAAGGAGGCCATAATGGAGGAAGCGGGGAGGGGGGAGCCCCTGGACATGAAGATCTCCCATCTAGGGAAACAACTTCAGCTCTCCATGTATAAATACAGAACTGTCTCAGTGGGCATGGCCACAGCCTCAGCCTGTTTACCATGCAGGTCCCCTCGAAGATGGATGTGATTCATATGTCATAGATGTCATGCGGATGTACTATAGAGACCAGCCAGGCTTCTTCAGGCTGATGGGCAGGGGAGGAAAGCCTTATAGTTTGGGATGGTCCCTTGACAGCTAGTCTGAGCCCCTAAGGGTTCTTCCAGGGATCTCCCTAAGAATGAGAGCAGTGGGGTGTTAGATTATTTCCGTAACTATGGGATCAGTATCCCTTTAGAGAGAAAATCTGTTACTCTGTTTGTGATACCAGGAACCCATGCCCATCCCCCAAGGCCACGTTTCAGGTGTGGCCACAAAGTCTTCAGGCTTGCCTAGTTCCTGTTATCTATCAGGTCTCCGTGGTATGCATGTGTGGTCAGCCTGCCTTCCTAGTCCTGTCTCCTCACCTTCCCCAGTCTCCTATTTCAAGCCTATCTAGGACCCAACTTCAGTTGGCCTGGGCAGGATGAGCCCTCAGCAACCCCCTACCCCAACCTGATATGAATCCAGCCAGCTCCACTCTGACTCCCAGACCTTTCTGCCCACCAGACTCCCTCCATGTGTATCTCCATATCCATCAAAACCGTCCCTGCTGGCCCTGTCCTTTAGATGAGCTGCAAGAAGAGAGGGGTACTCCTTGAGGCTGTGTCTGGGCTCTGTGGCCCACACAGGCCAGAGAAGCTAAGCTTCCAGGGACATATTGTCAAGACACACCCTGAGGAACTACAGGGATCTGTCCCACCCTGAGCCATGCCCCTAGATACCCACAGTGCCTTCTTCCTACCCAGAAATACCCAGCAAGTGGGGTGATCTACCCTTGTTTTAGACAAGGAAATGAACTATAGAGCCTGAGATAGGAGTTCTATCCGCTGCTCCTAGAGACTCAGGGGCATTGGCAAAGGGAAGAAAGGGGGACAAACAGGAGGCTTGCTGGACACTAGGCCCCTGCTTTTGGAGTGGGGCATCTAGATCCCCAAACCCCAAACCCACACATGAGGATAGGAATCATCATATCCATCCTGTACTGAGGGTATCCAGCCCTGGCTGACGAGGGAGTGCCTTCTCAGGAGAGTTTGAGCCCTCACAGACATCCACAGTCACTTCCATCAGTTAATGAGAGCAGAGGGTCACAGCCCTCACTTTCCCACCTGTAGACCAAGCACCTCAGTCCCTGGCAAACACCTCATCCTTCCCCTCCCACCAGGGGCTCTGAGAGGATTCACAGGTGCCCTTGGTCCTACAGCTGTGTTCTCAGTGGATCACAGGGACTCCTTCCTAAACATAGAAGGCAGTAGTGGGGATAATTGAGGGGGTTCTATCCAGGGACTGCACCCTAGACAGCGACTACCTTTGTTCTAGGGAATCTGAAACCCCTGTGAGAGGTTCAGGGATCTGCTCCAGTTCACACAGACCCAGAGCCCATGTCTCCGGGGTGCCAGGGTGCCCTCCTGGGAACCAGTTGGGGTCTCATTAAAGCCAGCATGAGTAAGGCCAGCCCTGTTCTTCAATACAGATAGAACACAGACTTCTACACTTGCCCTAAGGCTATGGGCTCCATAGCCTCCTAAGGAAGACCTCTTCTTTCGTAGCTACAAGGAGTGTGTGGGACCAGGTGCCACCCAGCTGTATGTCCCCACGGACGCACCACCACCCTACTCACTGACTGACTCCTGTCCCACGCTGAATGACCACCTCGACTCAGGCAGCGTCTACAACCACAGCCACAGACACCACCAGCAGGAACAGAGGACGCAGGGCCAGAGTGGCCTTCACACTGTCTCCATGGATACACTGCCCCCTTATGAAGCTGTGTGTGGAACCAGTGCCCTATCTGACCTGCTGCCATTGCCAGGACCACAGCCATGGCCAAGGAACTCTTCCCAAGGCTTACCCACCCCAACCTGGGCCCCAACCACCAGCCCTGAGAGGATGGTGTGAGTGACCCAGCCCACAGGTCTCACTGGTTCCTCTAGGCTGAACAATCTTTTCCAGGCACATAGGGGTACACACACAAGATGCACCCACAACTTGTGCACATGCATATATATGACTATACACACATAAACTGACATATCCCAATTGCACACACAAACACATACCCTACACAGGTGTGGACACCTGCACACAGAGGCCCCACTTACACACAAGTTCCCCTGGGAAGGTTTTCTTCTGATAAAGTGCTCCCTACATGGTGTCTCTTCCTCCCCAGCCTGGTGCCTGACGGTTATGTTTCTGGACAGGGCTGGGTAGAGGTGAGGCAAGAAGTACCACTTCCTTCCCTCTCTCCAACTTCCCCTAGGTGGTGGTCACATTCTGATTCTCCTGCGGAAACTGTTTGACTACCCAGATCAGCTGTGTGCCCCAACTCTTACCCCCAGAGCTTGTCCCACTGCCTGGGAGGCAGGACAGGCTCCAGTGAGGTCCCTCCATGTACTGTGCCTATCTCTCAGCTCCAGAAGAGCCATGTGTCATCACCCTGCCACCTAAAGGGTGAGGACACAGCTCTGGAGGATCAGGCATGACCTGGAAGACCTCAAAGCCCACCAGGCCCCTCCCTAACTCAGTGCCCTCAGTCTGGTGGTGCTAGTGGGGTTATCTTAGACACTCACCCCACTTATGGGGGTGGGGGAGGAACTGGCCCTTGGGCATGTGCTGGTGGAGGAACTCTATCCATGTCCACTCAGTACTGCCCGGGATGGACAGTCTTCAATGAAGACAAGGTCACTGCCTTTGTGCAGGTGGCCTCACCGCAGTGCCACCAAGACACAGCTGCAAGGCAGAGAAGGGCCCACTGTTCAGTAAGTGCCCAGCCAGCTCTGACAACCTGAGCCTAAATAGGCTCTAGCCAACCCAGGTGCCAGTGCTGTCATCCAGGGTGGCAGCTCATAGCTGGGGACTAAGTCCATGCATTCTGGTCTTGCCTCTCTGGGACATATGAGAGACAATAATAAAGAGAACCCGAATCCCACAAAACCCACCATGCCACTACAAGAGGACCAATGTCTGCTATCACAGAAGTGGGTGTGTGGAGTCAGCCTGGTTGCGAAAAGGCTCAGATCTTGGCCTATGAACTCCAACAAACTCCATCAAAGACTATGTAGGGTAGGGTGACAGAGATGATCTTTGAAGACCCCACTTGTAGCGGGGGGCAAGCATCTTTGAGGAGTGGCCTGTCGGCATCACCAGAGGCAGGAAGCAAGTCACCCTGTCTCCCCTCTTCCTACCCTTGGCCACTCATCCCTAAGCAGCAGACCCACTCCCACATTTCAATTTCTCCAATGAAGGGCTAAGAAAATTCAGCCAGCCTTTTCTTAAGCAGAGGGGTGGCAAGAATGGCAATCTTGAATTTCATTTTCTATAGAAAGTGTCCTGGCGCAGAGCTGAAAGGGACCCTCCCACAGGTTCCATAGCATCCTTTCCAGTTGCATCCTGGAGTCACAGGCTCCACCTGGGGGAGGGATCTTGTTTACAAACAGTTCTGCCCATCTTTGTGGTGTTCTGCTTTCTAGGCAAAAAAAAAA